CTAAACCCTAAACCCTCAAGCCCTACTTGGAGGCCCAGGGGACTTAGTAAGTAGGTTGTAAGTAGAGTTATATGTACCCTAAATTGAGTTACCCTTATCATAACCCTACTTATAACCGAATTACTGAGTCCCCTGGGCCTCCAAGTAAACCCTCCACCCGAAACCCTTTCATGCAGTTTCCGGCTCGCTCCTTGATTCAGAACCGGCGGGGGGGGGGGGCTTTCGGATATGGGAGTTTCAGAAAATTAGGGTACCTTATTTTGGGGTCCTTATAATAGGGATCCTATTATTTAGGGTACTATATTAGGGTCCCCTACTTTCGGAAACCCCCCATATAGGGCTCTCTGGGTATAATATAGAAGCCTACGAAATGATTAGAATAGGGTTTGGGGGTCTATTCTTTTTTACAAAAAGCTATAATAAGGAGCCCCCCAAAACCCTATTCTAACTATTAACGCCCCGGCATGTGTGCAATTCTTGGCTTTTTGTTTTGGAGTGTAGGCGTACACCTCCAACGACACCTTAGTCAGGTAAACCCTACACCCTACACCCTAAACCCTAAACTCTAAACCCTAAACCCTAAACCCTACACCCTACACCCTAAACCCTAAACCCCGACGTGAGTGAGGGGTTCCGGAAGGTCCAAGGTTGGAGAAGAACACCCGAAGATGGATCCTTAAAAGGTTTTAGGATTTAGGGTAGGGACCTCTCAAGCCTACACCCAAATGGGGGTTTCCGAAAATAGGGGACCCTAATATAGTACCCTAAATAGTAGGATCCTTATTATAAGGACCCCTAATTAAGGCACCCCTTATTTTCGGAAAATAGCTGAGCCATTACTGTAGGCTCGAAAAGCGGTTATGTGGGGATCCTCACCTGCTTTCTCCTAGGGGGCTTCAGGGCTTCAGGGATTAATATAGAAGCCTACACAATTGCCTACAGCATTGTGGGGGTTCGTTTCTAGAATTATGGTCAAAAATACCACAAAACCCTATTCTACTTCATATCTAAGGTTGAACCCATGGGCCCCTAGTATGGGCCCTTAACCCTGGGACCCTTATATACCTACTATATACCCTATATGAACCCTTAAGGGACCCTAGACAGGCCTAAGGGTCCATATTAGGGGCCCATACTTCTAGCCTTTTCATAATAAGGCCCCCTACATTGGAGCTTGAGGGTTGCAGGGCTTCCCGGCTTTTTGCAGTAGGATTTCGGTATCGAGCGCATTTGGGTTTAGGATGAGACTTTAAAGTGACTGAAACCCTAAACCTGAAATCCTAAGCTCTCTAAACAGATCTGCGGGCTGAGTTTTTAAGAATTCGGGGTTTGAGGGTTGCGAGGTTAGGAGGTGAGCCTCATTTCGATGCGTTTAGCATCGGTGATGTGAGGTTTTTAAGGGGTTCTGTAAGGGTTTAGGGTTTAGGGTTTAGGGTTTAGCAGGATCCAGAACGTTTTGCTTGTTCTTATGTAGGCAATTGATTGCAGAACACGCCTTACATTGTGGAAGGGTTCCTTCGTACAGGCATCCTTAACTTAGTGGATGTTGGAGTTTGTGTAAAACCCTTGACCGTAAACCGCTAGAAATCCATATAGTTTGTTGAAAGGCTCAGGCTTGGAGGGCAGATTTGACACCGTGCCAACACCTGCACAAGTTGCAGCGTTTCGGGTTTCGGGTTCAGGTTTGGAATTCAGAGTGTGTTGTCCTACTGAAAGGCCCCTAAACCCTAAACCCCAAACCCCCCAAAGCCCTAAACCCTAAACCCCTAAACCCTAAACCTAAACCCTAAACCCAAAACCCTAAACCCTGAACCCTGAACCCTGAACCCTGCACCCTGAACCCTGAACCCTGAACCCTAGACCCTGAACCCTAAACCCTAGACCCTGAACCCTAAACCCTAGACCCTGAACCCTAAACCCTAGACCCTGAACCCTAGATCCTGAACCCTGAACCCTAGACCCTGAACCCTCGACCCTGGACCCTGAACCCTGAACCCTAAACCCTAAACCCTAGACCCTCAACCCTAAACCCTAGCCTTAGACCCTGAACCCTAAACCCTAGACCCTGGACCCTAGATCCTGAACCCTGAACCCTAGACCT